GGCAGGTGAGACCTCATCTCCACAATAAATCAAAAAAATTAGCCGGGTGTGGTAGCATGCACCTGTAGTTCCAGCTACTTGGAAGGCTGGGCGACAGTGAGACTCCAACTCAAAAAAAAAAAAGAATTAGAATTTTTTTTTTTTAGTTGGAGTCTCACTCTGCTGTCCAGGCTGCTGTGGTGGCACTCTCCCGGCCACCTCAGCCTCGACCTGCTGGGTTCAGGAGATCCTTCCGTCTCAACCTTCCAAGTAGCTGGAACTACAGGTGTGTACCACCACACCTGGCTAATTTTAAAAAATGAACGAAGTTAAAATTTACAGAAGTACTTGCCCCCTAAATAAGTAATCTTATTGCGTAATTTTTAAAATAAACATGAGCCGGGCTCAGTGGCTCAGACTGTAATCCCGTGCCTTTGGGAGGCTGAGGTGAGTGGATTGCCTGAGCCCGCGGGTTCGAGACCCGCCTGGGCAACTTGGTGAGCCCTCATCTCTACAATAAATCAAAAAATCAGCCAGGCGTGGTAGTGCGCGCCTGTAGTTCTAGCTACTTGGAAGGCTGAGGTGGAAGGATCACTGGAGCCTAGCAGGTCGAGGCTGCGGTGACCGGGAGTGGCCACTGCACTCCAGTCTGGGCGACAGAATGAGACTCCAACTCAAAACAAAAAAAACAAAAAATAAATAAATAAACATGAATTTAGTGATGCACATACTTATAGCTTGGCTTATCCTGTATATGATACTTGAGAGTGGCAAAACTATTTTAAAAAATATTTTAAAGTTTCAGCTTTTTGCTAGACTGTGTGGGATTGTCCCCCATGATCCCAAACAGAAACCACTACATTTTAATTTGTTTTCTTGGTTGTTTTTTGCTTAGTTTGGTCTTTTCTTCTCTATCATGCCAGAGATAGAGATGAGATAGGGAAATGTCTCATTTTTGGTGATGGAAACAACTCTGTCTCTGGCTGCACCAACCCAGGACTTCTGCATGTAGAGGAAGTGGAGGCAGCTGACTCCTTGGCCAGGTGCTTCTGAGCTGCACAAGCCAAACGTATTCTTGGCCTTCTGTCTTAAGATGCCCGTAGTACATTGGCCTGCGACACTGTTCAGTGATGTGTTCATTAGAGGATAATAAAACCAGTTGTGCAAGCTTCTAGGTTATATTAAACTTCTGGACTAATGCTGTGTCATCTGGTTTCTGCAGAGATCTTAGGATTATTTACTTACCTTTTATCTTTGTTTATATCTTCCTCTTGCTTGTCCTATCAAGAAATAGTTGAAGGCTATCAACTTCAGGATTCTTTTGTTGTTTAACAATTCTTCCTGAATCCCCACTTCCCTACCATTTTAAAGAAAATGCTTTCTAGGCCTCCCGAGCCCATCAGAGTTCCAGAGTGACCATTGCCTTTCCCTGGCCCCTTAGCTATCTACACTGGGCTTATGGAGTATTTTACACACACACACAAGCATATGCACACAGATGGATATAGCACATTTACAGACTTGTTCCTTGGTTGTTTTCCTGATAGTGTTTCTTGTGGAGGTGTACTGTGTTTCAGCTGGGTTCGTTGGCTTAGCCTGTAATTCTAGCCCTTTGGGAGGCCGAGGCGAGTGAATTGCCTGAGCTTGTGGGTTTAAGACCAGCCCCAGCAACTTGGTGAGACTTCATCTCTACAATAAATAAAAAATAACTGGATGTGGTAGCGTGCATGTAGTTCTGGCTACTTGGAAGGCTGAGGCGGAAGGATCAAAGGAGCCCAGCAGGTTGAGGCTGGGTGGCTGTGAGTGTGCCACTGCACTCCAGCCTGATTTTTTTTTTATAGAGATGAGGTGTTGCTATGTTTCTCAGGCTGGTCTCAAACCCTGGGCTCAAACAATCCTCCTGCCTCTCCCTCTCAAAGTGCTAAAATTACAGGCATGAGCCACCACGCCCAGCCTTAATACTGTACTTTTTTTTTTTTTTTTTTGAGTTTGAGTCTCACTCTATCACCCAGACTGGAGTGCAATGGCCGCTCCCAGCCACCGCAGCCTCGACCTGCTGGGCTCCAGTGATCCTTCCGCCTCAGCCTTCCAAGTAGCCAGAATTACAGGCATGCGCTACCATGCCTGGCTGATTTTTTGATTTATTGTAGAGATGAGGTCTCGCCTGCCCAGGCGGGTCTCGAACCCGCGGGCTCAGGCAATCCACTCACCTCGGCCTCCCAAAGTGCTGGGATTACAGGCTGAGCCACCAAGCCCGGCCAATACTGTATTTTTACTGTCTCTTTTCTGTGTTTAGAGATGGTTAGATATACAAGTACTTACCATTGTGTTACGATCGCCTGGAGTATTCAGTGCAATAACATGCCGTGCAGGTTTGTTCCCTAGGAGCAATAGGCTTTATCATATAACCTAGGTGTGTCAGAGACTCTACCATATAGGTTTGTATAAATGCGCTCTGATGTTTGCACAATGACAAAATTGCCCGCTGGCACGTTTCTCAGGACATATCTCCATCATTGAGTGATGTATGACTATAGTTGTGGCAGAGACTGTATAGCTCACAAAGCTGAAAATATGTACTGCGTACCCCTTTACAGACCCCTGCTTTATGGGATTGGGGGGGAATTTCAGAGAGATTGGAGTGGGAATAATACTTTTCCACATGGCCTAATTTTTATATTGTTTTGTTTTAAATATGTGAATGCATAACTTATCACAATTTTGTTTGTTTGTTTTTGAGTCGGAGTCTCACTCTGTCGCCCAGGCTAGAGTGCAGTGGCACGATCACAGCTACTGCAGCCTCAACCTGCTGGGCTTAGATCATCCTTCTGCCTCAACATCCCAAGTAACTGGAACTACAGGCACACATCATCATGCTGGCTAATTTTGTAATTTATTGTAAAGATGGGGTCTCACTATGTTGCCCAGGCTAGTCTCGAACTCCTGGGATCAGGCAACCCTCTTGCCGTGGCCTCCCAATGTGCTGGGATTATAGGCATGAGCCACTGTGCCTGGCCAACCTATCACACTTTTTTTTTTTTTTTTGAGTTGGAGTCTCACTCTGTCACCCAGGCTGGAGGGCAGTGGCATGTTCCTGGCCACCACAGCCTCGACCTGCTGGGCCCAGGTGATCCTTCCACTTCAGACTTCCAAGTAGCTGGAACTAGAGGCATGCACTACCATGCCTGGCTAATTTTTTTTTTTTTAAATTTAAAACACTACCCACTGGAGTTAGTCTTCAAGGTGTTGCTGGTCTCATGTATCTGCTAATCTCTGTCTTGTGGTCTGCTTGATTTATCAGGAATGTTGAAAAATCCATCTCAAGTATTCGGTGACAAAGGCCAATGATGCTGCCCAAACCTGGGATCTATTATTTCCCCTGGGAGGTCTGTGCTGGCCAAGTTCCTGATGGGGACACTCTGAGGACATTCGGCAGGTGAGAATGGTTATTTGTTCACATGGTGGGAGTGATGGTTAAATGTCTTCTCCCCTCCCCAAAAAACTTTAATCATTTCCTTATAACTTTTTCTAGTTATTTTAAAGTGCTAAAAAATTATTATGTATTCATTGTAAAAATGTAGACAGTCCATAATGGTACAATGAAAGAAAGCAAAAATCACCTGTAATTAATCCCATTGCCCAGACAATCACTGCTCACCTTTTCTGGTTAACTTTTTATGCTTTTCCATGTGTATATGTAGGTATATATGTGGGTAGATGGGTATATACCTGATATATGTATATACATTATATATTGTGTTATACTCTGCTTTGTTATAAATTGCCCCCCATTTTTTTTTTTTTTTTTAGTTAGAGTCTCACTCTATCACCCAGGCTGGAGTGCAGTGGCTGCTCCCGGCCATCGCAGCCTTGACCTGCTGGGCTCCGGCAATCCTTCTGCCTCAGCCTTCCAAGTAGCTGGAACTACAGGCGCACACTACCACACCCGGCTAGTTTTTTAAAAAAATTTTACTGTAGAGATGAGGTCTCGCCAAGTTGCCCAGGCGGGTCTCGAACCCACGGACCCAGGCAATCTACTCACCTCAGCCTCCCAAAGCACGGGATTACAGGCTGAGCCACCAAGCCCAGCTGCCCCCAAATTTAAAATGACAACAAATATTTATTGTCTCACAGTTCCTGAGGGTCAGGAATTTGGGAGTAGCTTAGCTGCATGGTCCTGGCTCAGTGTCTCTTATGGGACTGTAGTCAAGATATCGGCTGAGTCAAAGTGGCTCGTTCACATGTTTGGAAAATTAATGCTGACTCCTGGCAAGAAGACTCAGTTCCTGACAATGTAGATTTCTTCATAGGGCTACGTGAGGGTCCTCATAAAAGCAGTTTCTCCCCGAACCAGTAATCCAAAAGAAAGAGCAGGGTGAAAGCCACAACATCTTTTATGGCTTAGCTTCAAAGGTCGGTCATTTCTGCAGTATTCTGCTAGCTACACAGGTCAGCCATATTCAGCCTACAAGGCATGCACAAGGTTGCGGTTACAGGGACATGAGACTCATCGGGACCATCTTGGAGACATATATGTACATATATATAGAAATATTTCAACCATTAGCCGGGCATGGTGACTTGCACATGTAGTTTCAGCTACTTGAAAGGGATGAGGCAGAAGGATTGCCTGAGCCCGGCAGGTTGAGGGTGCGGTGGCTGTGAGTGTGCCACTGCGCTCCAGTCTGGGCAACAGAGTGAGACTGACTGGTCTCTGACTCAGACTGGTGTGCAGTAGCCGCTCCCCGCCACTGCAGCCTTGACCTGCTGGGCTCCGACGATCCTTCTGCCTCAGCCTTCCAAGTAGCTGGAATTACAGGCATGCGCTACCATGCCCAGCTGATTTTTTTTGATTTATTGTAGAGATGAGGTCTCGCTGCCCAGGCGGGTCTCGAACCCGCGGGCTCAGGCAATCCACTCACCTCAGCCTCCCAAAGTGTGGGATTACAGTCTGAGCCACTGAGCCTGGCTGATTGCCACTTTTAATAGGTCCATTTTTATTTCATTGTGTAAATATATCATAACTTAGCCATTTCTTTGTTGATTTACAACAGAGACATCAATGAAATTCAGTAGGGAAAGGATAGTCATTTCAACAAATGGTGCTGGAACTACTGGATTTCCTTCTGGGGGAGTGTGAAAGATCTTGATCCCTACCTCACAACATACAAAAAATACTAATTTGCACTATTAGAGTACAAGCTAAAATTATAAAATGTATAGAAGTAAACAGGAGAATATCAACCTTGAAATAGCCAAATAATTGTTAGATAAGACACAAAGCAAAAACCATTAAAAAAAAATAAGTTGAACATCAACAGGATTTAAAGCTTGTTTATCAAATAATAATACTAAGAAAATCAACAAGAAAGAAAGAAAGAAAAAAAGGCAAGGGCAAGAAATGAAAAGGCAATTCCCTTCCAATCTACAAAGTAGACTGAAACATTTTTTTCTCATTTGTTGCTGCCATTTTTATTTCCCTGATCAGACTGAGGCTGAACACTTTTTCATGAATTTACTGCTTCCCCAAACCTTTGGAGCTTTGTAGTCATTCTATCTATGGATAGAAGTTATTGCACTTCCTCTGCCCTGCAGGTTGTGCATCTATGACATGACCCAATCCAGAGTGACACTGATGGCTCAGCACGGATCTGATCAGCATGAGGTTCTTGTCTGTACCAAGTTGGTGGAGCCCTTCCAAGCCCAGGTGGGCTCCCTGTACATTGTCCTTGGGGAGCTCGAGCACCAGAAGGGTAAGTTTCAGCCTCACACACCTTTTTTCTCTGGGTTCTGAGTTGGGGAAGTTTTTTGAGTGACTCAGGAATGGCCTTGTGACCCAACAGGGGTGTCTCACCAGGTTAACATTTCTTTCAAATTAGTCCACAAGTTCAAGGAGTCTTGGGGAACAGATGTAAGTAGATAGAGTGCACCCACCAAGTGGTGCCAAGTCAAAGAGAGAGACAGTGAAGAGTTGGGGAAGGGAGAAAGAGAAGAGAGAAACCAGCCAGTTTTTCTCAAGGCCTACGATGTGCCAGGCCTGTGTAAGGTGCTTTGCTTAGATCTTTTTGAATCTACCCGTCAGTCCTTAATCTGAGTCTTATCATTGCTATTTCATAGACAAGAAAACCAAGGCTGAGAAAGGATGGGGCTGTAATAACAGGCCAGGAAGTCAAGTAAAGGAAATAGAATGCAAGGAAAAGAATAAAAGCAACCTGAAAGAATAAAAGCAGCCTGTCTGACATCCAGAGTTGAAGGCATCCTTTGTCACCCTCTCTGGCAATCCCTGAAGGATGAGCTGAAGGTCAGGGAAGTGCCACAGACTCGCAGAATCAGTAGCTTTTCTCCGCTCCTATGGGGCTTCTCTCTGACATCCCATTTTTGTGTGTGTCCCTGTTTTCTCTACTTTATTCTTTTAAAAAAACTTTTTAAGGGTTTAGAGACAGTCTTGCTCTACTGTCCCGGCTGAAGTGCAACGGCGCTATCATAGCTCACCATAATCACAAACTCCTGGGCTCAAGCAATCCTTCCACCTCAGCCTCCTGAGTAGTTGAGACTACAGGTGTGAGCCACCATGCCCAGCTAGTTTTAATATTTCTTGTGGAGTCAAGTTATCCTCCCGCTTAGCCTCCCATAGTGCTGGGATTACAGGCAGGAGACAACTACACCCCTCCTCTACTTTCTTCTTTAAGCTTTTACTTCCCCTACTCCATTAGCAAAGCAATACATTCTCATTGTAAAGAATTTAAAGAGTATAAAGAAGCAGAAAGAAGCCGGGTGCATTGGCTCACACCTGTAATCCTAGCACTTTGGGAGGGAGAGAAGAGAGGATTGCGTGAACCCAGTGGTTCAAGACCTGCCTGGGCAACTTGGTGAGACTTGTCTCACAGTAAATCAAGACATTAGCCGGGTGTGGTGGTGCACATCTGTGGTTCCAACTACTTGGAAGGCTGAGGCAGAAGGATCACCTGAGCCCAGCAGGTTGAGGCTGCGGTGGCCGTGAACGTGCCTCTGCCCTCTAGCCTGGACAATAAAGTGAGACTCTAACTCAAAA